CTTTGAAGCTGTGATAGTAACTTGTGAAGAAAACCCCCAAAGCCCCCAAGGGCGTGGTGCAACTCTAACTGTAGTCGACCAAGAGGCCTCCCACCAATCTCAAAGGACTCTGGATAAGGCCTTTGGTTTGGCAGGGATGTAACTGTATCACTTGGCTTGTTTGATAAGTAGTCATTACAAAACTGCATGAAAGCTTTGCAATAGCATTTGTCTCAGAGAGCTTCACAAAGTCTCAGCTTTTGCTCAAACCTTTTAGAAAGTGTTGCTTTTTGAAAAATAAATAAATAAATAAACCCCTTTTGTGTCTGTGAAGAGCTGGCAGTGCAGAACAATACTTGAAACTGGTCGTCTTCAGTGTAACCTTTGTGTAGGTGATGGCAACAAACAATGGCATGAGACAGTGGAGCACAAAGGGGTCAAATTCTGCCTCCTGTTACCTTCTTGTTAAACTGAGGTGAAGGACATACTTCAACTGATTGGCTTACACTGATGAAATGGAAGGTTGATTTTGTTCCTAAAATGGAATTTTTTTCAGGGATTCATCTCATTGAGAACTTAGGGCTTCTGGACGGGCACTTACTATAATTTGAAAAGCCAACAGCTATCAGACATATCTGCTTGGGGCTAGCAGATACAAGACATGACAGACAGGAGGCTTGCATCCTTACTGGAGCCACAGAGATACTCTAGTTCATCTCAGATGGCACCAGACACGCAGGGCTAGAAAGGCATCTTATAGGTCTGAGTTAGGTTCAGATTATGAGATCTGTGTAGATCTGTCTACATGTATGCTATCTGCCAAAGCTCCCACAAGGCAACGAATGGATCTTGGATCTAGAATAGACTAGAAGGAGAGCTATCCTCTCCCAAGCCCCACAGATTACTGATCGGATCGCCACTGACTCAAATGGGTGCTTTGACACCTTATTTTCATGCATTCGGCTATAAGTAGACACATGCGTTTCCTAAGCAGAGCTGTCTAGTATAATTTTAGATGCTAGGAGGTCTCCTTCCTTGATCCCAGCTGGCATAAAAACAAGTCTCTTCTAAGACCTATGGAGATGTGTCTTACTGGAGCTGCAAAACTAGTGTAAAATTCCTGTATGTAGGCAAATTCTACTAGAAGTAGCTAACCTATTGCCCGGAGCCTACCCTGTCTCTACAATCAAGGGAGAGAAAGATGCACCTCTAGAGAGTGATTAATTGAATCTTAAAGGATGTCTGAGATATTTGCCCTGTCCTCACTGACCACAGGACAGGGCTGGATGACAAATGTAAAACAGGTAGCCTGTAAAACCAAATGCAAAATGAAACAAACCCAAAAGACTCAGATAAAAGCAATCTTCAAGTGCTTCCATAGGTCTAGGACTCAATCTTATGCTCAGCAAAATCGACGGCTGACTTCATCAGGAGAAGATTCATATCCCCTCACCACAGGGAAACTATATGATATATTGATTGCTCCTCACCCAATACGTGTAATATGTGATCAGCTAAATGCTTAATATAGACAAACATCTCATTAAAATAAGGATTTGGTTTACACTGTAAAAATTGAGCAGTTGTTAAATAGGATGGGTTAAGTCTGGCTAGATCAGGTTAAAGTAAAGCAGAGAGAAAGCATCTCATGTTTGTATTTTGGCTATCACTTTTAACTTAAATGTCAGGGGAATCTCATGACTGAACACAATCTGATAACAGTACAGCCCTAAAAGGTTTGTTTTCACAGCTAGTTCACCCAGATGAGAATCCTGGTTTAGCCAATGTGAGTTAAAAGCTTGTCTTTTGTTTGGCTTTGTTTTCACTGCAGACATACCCTAAGTGCTGTGCCATGGCAAGAACAAGAAAAAGAAAAAAAAGTGTACACGTTAAAAATTTATTCAAACCACTCACACTGTCTTCTCTCTAGCAAGTGAATAAGGACAGATGAAATACTTACTGTAAATTACATAGGTGACTTAGGACCAACGTTTTATTTCCAAAAGAGAAATGGGACTCAATTTTCAAAAGTATTTAAATGTCTTGTAGTATTTTAAAATATTTCACAGCAAGGCAGAAGCAAAAATCCAACTGAATTTAATTTAAGTCAAGTGCTCATCTTGTTTAGTCACTTAAGCATTGATCCACATTCTCATGAGAGTAAATTCCTTTGAAAGCCCACACTTCACTCAGGTGGCAGCCTACCTCTCACTGAAAGTTAGTAGGATTTAGCTTTCCAACAGCCTTCATTTGTTTTCTATAGCCAGACACCAGGGTTCTCAGACAGTCCTTCTAGGCACCCAACTCAAACTTCGCATGACTAAATATCTTTATAATCATGGCTGTTACTGGCCAAGTCATTTCTGAAAAACAGGAATTTTCAGTGTCTAAATCCATACCTAATGGACTTAGAAATTTCATAGCCTAAAAATCCCTGCCTAGCAATAATCATTTTCCGAGGTTACATACCGTAATCACCAGGAGAAAAAAAGAGACATGGTATCTTCTACCAGCCCCTGCTTTTGTTATGAAACTTATCTTGGCAGAAGGAAGAAAACCCAAACAACCAAACACCACCTCCAAACAATTCTTTGATATTCTCAGGTTTTCCATTAAAATAAATCCTGAAATTTTATATATATAAAGTATTATTCCCTATGCTTACTGAAAAATGTTATCTAGAATGATAGCTAAAAGAAGAAAGGAAAGACCTCCCCATTTACAGAGCAATTTAAACAAAAATAGCAGAAATGGTTTGTAATAGATGGGAAAAAAGGTCTAATTTGAACTGTGGAAAATAAAAGCAATTTTAATGGTGGTAGATTTTTTCAAAATTGCATTTCTTCTCTTTTTTTAAAAATTATTTTTAATTGCCTTTAACTAGTACCTAAGTAAATCAGATTATGCCCTCACTAAAGAAAGCATTATAACAAAAAAAGAAAAAAAAAAACAAAACAGAAGAAAAAGGAGTTAATATTAGGGTATTTCATACAGTATCTTTTAGCCACCTTTTAATAAGAATATTGACATCCTGATTTAGAATATAGGATTTTAAATGGCAAGTCCATACAAGTGCGTTCATTTGTCCAGCCCTGTAGCATATAAATAGTCACATTTCATTACATCCATAGCTATAGAGCATGTGTTTCTCTATACTTATGCATGTATTTATGTATGTGCAGTTCATTCTTTTTACAGATGCACACCAATGTAGCTAAATTTTCAAGGAGTTTTACCAGCCTGGGCTATGTTAAATGATAAGGAAAAATGGACAAAGAAACGACTTACACTGTATTGCCAGGTCTGGGCTTGCACACAGCATGCTACTACACCCACTCTCTGGCCCAGGACTCAGCCACTGAGCTGTATCTGAAATATTTGCAGCAACACTAATACCTACATTTGGTGATGGGAACTTGATCCACCTTGAGAAAGCTCAGCATCTTGCATAATCAGGCCCTAAGATGGCTCAAAGTAATTTAGTCACTTGAGAAATGAGAGGACTCTGCTTCATTGCTCAGTCTCCCTTTTCCAGCTACTCCACTGCTGGAGCTGTTTAGCGCTTTATTGTTGCACTTTGTAGTAATTTATTCCTGGAAACTAACATGTAGGAAAGCAGAAGAATGATTTGTATCTGTTAGTTTGGCTAGAGAAAAATACACACCTGTGGGCTTTCCCCTCCCTCCCATTCCATTCTTCATGAACAATTAAGTATTTTAGGACTTCAGAGATGTCTCATACAGAGGCCATTTCAGTAAGATGACTCAAAACCAGGCAGAGAAGCCCATGTGCTTGCTTATTCCTCCCCTCCTGCTATGCCAAACAAAGCAGCTTTATCTGGGGGAGGGAAGGAGGGAGGGAGGGAAGGAGGGAAGGAGAAAAGTGAATTGCTTTGCCAGGACTTCACTGCAAAAGATAAAGCAACAGAAAGGGAACACAGCTAATGAGTCCACCATTATACATCTCATCATGCAGAAAGACTCTCAGGTAATCATGTATCGTCCAAACAGCCAGCATGAAGCAAAAGGGCTGTTGTCATCCACAGTCGAGGAAGAATGGCACCAATACTAATTTCAATATAAATAGCTTTATAAAATTGCTTGGATAGAGTTCTGGTTATGGGGCTGACCTCACATAGTCCTCTTCACATGAGAGTGATATCATTCCAAGATTGCTTTCTCTTCACCAGATGCTGCTTCCAAAAGAAGTGGTGAAGTATTACCCTATCCAAACTGTCATTTATTTATTCTTCCCTGTCTGTCCCCTCCTCCCATCAAAAATATAGCTAGCTACATACCCCTGCAATGCACTGCCTGGAAAAATAGCACCTGTTGCATGTGTTACCTCATCTCTAGTTAGCTGTGGGTTATTATTTGGTTTTAATCTATGTAAAAATGATCACCGTGCGGAAACCCCAGGATGACTGCAGAAGACTGTAGGGGGCAAAGAAAGAGATTCAGCTGCACAATAAATTGTCTTGAGTTAATTTTTTTTTCTTCTTAGCTGTTGGATTGATTAAACTGTCTGAAACCTTCAAGTCTGACAGCAAATTCTACATAATCTTCAGAAGCCCTGTGAAGGCAGTATGTCACACAGACACAAGCAGGGTGTGAAAAACCTCCCTTGGTGGGACTTCTCCATTTCTCACCCTTAGGATGTCTGTGACTGAAAAGAAGGTTTTTGAGCCTCACACTGAAACCATACAGCACAAGTAAAACTGGCAGGATTTGAGTCTTCAGTATTGTTCCCAATCAGCTAAGGACAGAAGACTTTATAAAAACAGCACAGAAGATTAATTCGAAGTAGAGTATTTGGGATCTTTTTTAACTTGTTTCCCTAATGTTCTTCCTTGTAAACAGGGTTGATCAAATATTAACATTTTTAGATGTGACATCAGACCTCTCTCTATTTAGCTTTGGAGAAGATACTCTAATTTCTACAAACAGGAAATACCAATCAATCTTTCATGCAGTTTTGTTTTGGTTTGGGTTTTTTTGAGTAGCTGCATTTTTTTCTTTTTTAGAAGAACTGGCAGAAGGTGTGACTCATGTTTAAGATTGAACTATTTTTGTTTTTTCTCGTCTATGTACTTTGTCTTTGCCACAGTGGCAACAGTGTTTAACCTCAGCTTGTGATAATCCTCCATATGGCATGAACAGGTATATGCTGCATTTCTAACATTTCAGACAAATATAGAGCACCTAAGTCCTAGCAGCTTCCTAAAACCCTTGGAGATTCAAGCTACTATTTTCCATGCTTCAGCTAGAGTTACGCTAGAGTACGTTGGGTCTACATAGCCAGCCTTATGAGATGGAGGTGAAAGAGGTGCAGGGAATGACATTTATTGTTGATACATATATTGTTGGAAAAGTACCGATAAGCCTAAAAGTTACAGTAAAAGGACAGGAGGTTGGGGGAAGGAGCTTAATGAGGACAGTTTTCTTTTCCCTTACCTCATACCAGCTTCCCAACTGGTATAAATTAATGTAACACCATTGAAATCAATAGATATATATCAATTCATATCATTTGAGAATTTGGCCTGTTCTTTATGACTGCTGTAAATGAGCCAGTAAAATAAACCAAGCATTTTGGTCTAGTTCTTTCCCTCTATCCTGTCCCAGTATCTGTAGAGCTACGTGTTCAGCTACTTTACTTTACATAGTCCAGCTCTAGTGTAAAAGTGATGAATTAAATGGGTCCAGAGAAAAACCAAAATAAATGTGGGGACTTTGAAATATCCAGGAACACACAGCAGAAACCAGGTGTGCATGTGGATCTTATTTTGTGTAGGGTGGGATAACAGGTCTCTTGAGCTGCAGAAGTAAACTGTGACTGCCAGGTTCTTGTGCAGAGAATGAGGCACTGTGATTGTTGTCAGTGTTTCCTGTGCAGGGCGGTCTTTTCCAAATGAAAAAGAAGTTAGCAAAAAATGACTGTTTAAAAAAAAATTACAAAAAGAAAAAAGGAAGGAAGAAGGGAATAAAGGAAGGAAGGTTAGGGGAGTAAGAGTAAGAAGAAATTGCATTGTCCATCAGATGAAATATTCCCGTTTGCACTCGCTCACTGTGTTCTGCAAGTCAATGTCAGCTTTAAAGGAGCTCTCGAGGTTTTCTGGGTATTCCTTCTCCTTTGTCTGGCTACTTCGACGTGCTTGTTTGTGCTGATAGAGGAATCTGCTCATGATGGCAATGATGCAAAAGATGATGAATATCACAACTGCTATTACACCTGAAGAGGGGTAAAAAAGGAAGGATAGAAAGAATAAAAACCAAAACCAAAACAAAACCCCCAATTACCTCAAAAATACATTACTAATGCACAACAGCGAGTGGATATGATAGATCAGTTCATCTCAGCCTGTACACAATCATCTGCCTCTAACCCCCCCCCCCCCGGTAGTTTTTATTTCTATTTTGTCACCTTGAGTAAGACTTAAAGCAGCAACCATTGATGACATTGACCTAATTTCAGTCAAATTCTGCTTTCACTGGAAGTAAATTTGGATCAGTGTGTTTGTTTTTAAAAAACTAGATCTGTATGCTCATACAAATTCCTGCTCTGTTATATTTTCTTCTGTGTTATCTCTGGAAACCTTGCATGAGCCTTGTTCACTTTGGTTTATAGCTTCTAGATATTATCAAAGGCAGCTCCCTACAGGGCATCCTATAAAATAAACAGAGACAAATTGCCTTCCAGGTTGTTAAAGGAAAATGAAAACCATACATGAAGCTATAAGGACAACTTTCCCTAGCATATAAATGCTTCCATATGACCTAGCAAGTTCCTGTACACCACCAACTTGCAAGGAGAGAGCTCAAGAAATACAGAATATGTGAACACTGTGTTGAGGCTCTCATCAGAGTGGTGTGTAAAACAATTACTAGCTAGCTGGGTCTTGGAACACAGAATCACACAGAATCAGAGAATGATTGAGGTTGGAAGGGACCTCTGGAGGTCGTCTTGTCCAAATCCCCTGCTCAGGCAGGCAGATAGACAGACTTTGGTTATATTTTAGAAAACTCACGTTCTTGATGATCCACAATGCCTTTTTTTGGTGATATCCAACATCACGTGCTGCCACTATTGGCTTCATTCATAATGCCGGTGCCTATCTAGGTAGCTTGATACAGATATGTGCTAATAAATACAGCAAATACTAGACCTGCATTAGATTACAAAAAACTCGAACTGGATTTTATGGGGCCCATATTTAAAGTACCCTAGATGTTTGCCTTGACAGAATTATTTTTCAATTGTAATCTTTAAAAATGAAGTTACCTCCAATCACAGCTGAATCGCTTCTGACTGCATTGGTGAGAGGCTCTCTTTCATCTGTCTTCCCAAAAGTATCTGCAGTTGGTTAAACAGAACAGGACTTATTTTTTGTATCAGCAATATTAATTTTCTCTGTGGCTCAGACAGAAACATCTTCTTATGAAACCCTTATGAATTCTAATCTGTTTTCAAAAGATGTGATTTGGGGGACTGGAGAATCAAACCAGAAAGCTCTCTGAAAATTAAAGTGAGCTTGCAGAACAATTTTCTTCTTCATCTTCAGGAGTAAAGTCTGTTAAGGGTATATTTAAAAGGCAACAGAAAGGCTCATGCTAACACCTGAAAGTGTTGCCTCAGTTTATCAGTAGAATAATCAGGGAGACATTTGAACTAAATAGCCCATTGGGAGCTTTTCTTTGTCTGTGGGTTTTGTTTTTTGTTTTTTTTTTTTTTGATACCTAAGAAACAATATCAGAAAGAAGCAAAAGGAAAGGAAGGTTAGACAGATTTAGACCTGACCTATGCTTGCAGATGCAGATATACAAGTCGAATTCAGTCCCATAAAGAGAAACAGTCTCTGCTAAGGACAGCTTCTTGGAAGGGATGTTTTTCTCTCCATTGCAGAAAAGCAGTGGTCAAATTGGATTCAAAACAGAGAGGGGTCAGAAATTAATTCCTATATTAAAGACTCCTTGACGTTGGAGCTTTCTTGAACTTTATCTATAAATGACTACTGTTGAAACAGTGGGCTAAACAGTCTACATGCTGGCAGTTTCAAATTCAGATCCAAACCTGAGAGGTCAAGCCCTCCCTGAAGTCAGTGGAGTTATGGCAGTGTACCTACTTTAGTCCTGCACATTTCAGAAAATGCTGTGTTTTCTACTGCTAGTTGAGTCCAGCTTTTCTGCACTTTCACATTTTTTTTCCTTTCAGCTTACCCTTTATTTTGGCGAGATGCCTATCTGTGTTTCTCTCCTTTACAAGCCTCCAGGCTATCATACAGAGGATGTGCGTGGCAGTTACGGATGACTGTCTCTGCTATATATATTATATATTATATTGCTTTACCAAACTGATCTTTCTGATGCAAGGGGTGGAAGCCTAACTGAGAAATTCGGTGTTGCAAGGTTTATTGTAATTGAACATCCTTGTCTTAGTAGCCAACTTGGCCACATTTTGGTATCTTATTGCCCAATAAGATGATTTTTATTGAAACAAGCAACAATTTCGTATTTGTGCATCAGCAGGTGCTGAGTTTGTAATGATGGTGGCTTTGGGCTATTTAGGTTCTTAAAGGGGACTTTTTCCTTATTCTCTCCATCACTGAAACCAGACCCAAAGATGTGCAGAAGGCATCAGCCTCAAAGAGGCTTTCATGTTTTAAAAGATGCAAATCTATTGTTAGTTTTAGGGGTGGAAGGATTTCTCATCAAACGTATCCATACTGAAAAGTCAGGGTTCCCCATACCGGCAGTTCATTGACTGAGCTACAGGCACAAAAAGGACTTCTGGGGCCAAGTGAACACCTCCAGTACACCCATTATCAAAGTGAATGGTAAATGCCAATGACAGATTTGGACACTCACGTTGAAACCTATTTACAAGAGACCCCTTGCTTGGATATTGGGTGCCTCTAGTGATGTTGCCAAGAAACATATAGTCATGGCACTGCTTCTTCTCATTTACTACATTTGTGGAACTGGAATAGGGATAAAAATTGTGGTTTTACACATAAATTCAGATAGCATCATAGAAAAGGTTAGGTTGGAAGGGAAATGTGGAGGTTATTTATCCTAATCTCAAGCTTTTGAGCCTCAGCTCAAAGCAGGGCCAAATTCAAAGTTAGATCAAGGTTGCTCATAATTTTGTACATCATGGGTAGGTTCATCTTTATTTTTCAGTATCTCAGAGTTAGCTATATAAATCAAGACTAGTAATTTAGGCTCTTTATATTTAGTGAAACAGAGGAAAAGAACCTAGAGATACTTTATACCCTAAGATGGCTGTCAAAGATGGACAGCATGATTTGCTTACTTCTTTCCACAAACTAGAAGAAGGGACCAATCATTATTTTAGACTCAGGATAATTTAACTTTCAGATACTGGAAATTTGGTGAGATATTTTCTACCCCAGCCCTCGGCTGGCGCCAGTGAAATCAGTTACAATAAAAATTCACACCTGTTGAACATCAGTCGTCCTGTAGTAGAGAAAAATCTCCAGCTATCTGGTGCATGGTATTAGTCAAATAGAGTCACGAAAGACTATTAACTATGTATGAAAAAAGCATGAAATTGAACTTCTACCTTAAAAATTATTTAAGACATCATTCATGCCTAAAAGATTATGTAAGATCTGACACTAAATGCTATTAAAGCTCCACTATTTTTTTGGCAACTGTCACCAGAATTTAAGCACTGAGAGGAAACCAGAACAAATGTTGGAGATCAGTTTCAGAATGGAGGCCAACAGACATAGGCCTTAAGAATTATGTTTTGCCTGAGAAATAAAATCAGGATACAAGGAGAAGAGGGTTTGTTACAGCAGAGCAGATGGCATGTGACAGCAGAACCATCTCCAGTGGGAACACAATAAACTCTGAAGCCAAGGAAAAACAATACTGTGTCTCATATGAGACCTTAACAGGACATCCTCCTCCTTTTAGATAAAACTGATGACATTACAGCGTGAATCGCTGAGGTTGGAAGGCCCCTCTGGAAATCATCTAGTTCAAAGCCCTGCTCAAATCAGGGTCTATTACAGCAAGTTTCTCAGGGCTGTATCCACTTGGGTTTTGAATATATCCAAGGATGAAGACTTCACAACCTCTCTGGGCCTCCTGCCACCTTTGCTAGATTTCCTTCTCATTGTGATGGACCATTCTTGATCTTGGAGGAGATGATCCTTGAACCAGCTCTCCTGGATCCCTCTTCTCACCAGGGCTGTATCCCGTGGGATTCTTCCAAGCAAGTCCATGACCAGGTCGAAGGTTGTTCTCCTGAAGTCTGGGGCTGCAGTCATGCTTTCTGCTTTTTTTCCTTCTCAGGATCCTGAGATCTCACAGCTGCTACAGCCAAGGCTGTCCCAGCACATCCCTGGCCGGCTCCTCCTTGTTTGGAAATATCAGGTCCAGCCCAACTAGCACAGTGAGACAGGGATTTGCACTATTTAAGCTGCCTTTCAGAAGCAATTATTTTCGGTGTAGTTTCTGACTTATGAAAGTCTTTGGCATTTTCTACTTTAAATGCATGAAGACTTGCTCTTCAGCTGGAGTAGACAGACAGCTCAAGACTCCACCATTCACACAGCTGAATCTGCTCTGGCATTTACATTATTTTAACATATATATAAAAAAAAAAGCACAGTAAAAGTCCATTATCTCTATGTCATCAATGTAGAGTTCAGAATACCAAAGCCTCTACAGCAAGGAAGAAGGTGATTTGCACATCTTTGTTAAATATCAAAACCACAGTAAGTCACCTTTCATTTTGTGTTTCATAATCAGAAAAAATGTGTATGGATAACTGAGCTGCGAGTGAATGGACTTTATTCCATATCTGTCTGCTAGAAAACTTTCTTGAACACAACAAGCATTACTCTCTGAAGGAAAGAGCATCAATTGTTTTCAAGTTATAAATATATAAAGCTTTTTTCACACATTTAAAGAGAGATTTCCTGGAGGGCTTTTTTGTTGTATCTGTACATTAGAAAATTGTCACAGACATGTACAGTCAACTTTGAAGTTCTATTTTTCTTCTCGGATACTCAATAATGAGAAATTGGGAACTGATGAATTGAGATATGAGCAGTAAATTTGAAAGTTAATCCTTAACTCTGTCTTCTTTTTATTTCTTAAAACGTGTCCTTTCCATGTATAAATGTAATCCTCAAGTACATCTATACAAAGTATAATTTGCTACAAATTGGAATTTTTTTTTGTAACAAGAATCTACCACCCAGTGCTCTTACTATAGCATATAAAGACATGAAGTCTTCAGAACTAACTTGTTCTAAAGATCTTATTCAGGCTTTAATCAAATCCAGTGTGAATAGTGAAGCAGTAGTGTCAGTTAATTCATCATATTGAGAGGAAATCGTATCTTAAAGCATAGAGTGGCAAAGACAGGGATGAGCTTTTATAATAATTCTGCATTTCTCATGTAACAGTGCTTAACCTTGACAATAGAGTGCAACCAATTGTCAGCTTTAAATATTTAAGTCCAAAGATGCTACATTCTGCTTTGTGTTCTGTCCTGCAGTTCTGAGCCTCAGGTTTTCCTGCTTCCTAAACTCTTTAGAAAAATTAGATCACCGAGGTGACAGATCACAGGGCAAGGAGTTTGTATTTTCAGTATCATTGCCCATTCGGTATTTACAAGAGACATTTCTGCTGTGTGTCAGAGCAGATATCTTAGACAACTCTGAGTGGTGAGAAGAAAGTTGGGGGGTGGGGAGAAGCACACACACACGGGCAGCCACTCTTCACAGAGTAATCAGCAGCTTTTTTCCCTATGCAGAATGCGAATAGCATCATTTGTTTTCTGCTGAATATCTTAGGCAGAAGCTGCAGGAAAGGGGGGTTTGATGCAAGTACAAATGTCAAAGGAATCATATTATGATCTAAACCAGAGTTATCAGAAAACAGAAAGTGGATTCATAGGTCAAGGGGCAAAAAATAGCCCTTAATTTGTACCCCTTTCAGGTCGTTAAGAATTCTGCCACAAACATTGGTGACTAAAGCAGCAACTTGATTGCCCCTGTTCCTGGTGACAACACTTCCATCTGCTCTGAGTTTCCTTCTCTGCATACAAATTCACATATGCAAAATACTTAATATTCCCAGAGGACAGTTTCAGGATTGCAAAAGATAAACTAACTGTTGGGATCATCTTACTGATACTGCTCAAGTAGTGCTCCCTCTCTTTAGCCTGAGAGAATAAAGTACAAGCATTCAATGGAAGTCACGCACGTGTGTCGAGGGGTTTGTACAATGAGTTTTTGTTCGTTTCTGCCAGGGTGGGAACAAATTCGACTTGTTTGTTGTATGACTCCTATTGCTTCATCACCACTGGGATACGGAATCTGTGTAACATTTATGTTCTCCTTTGAGATCTGCAGCACTGGAGCTATCTAGAGTGGACAGGAATGGCAAATCAGGTGCATAACCATACTTCCAGTGCTGTTACCACTATGGCTTTGGGACTTTTTTGTTGGTTCTAGGCATGTTTAGGCAATCCAAGAACTTAGATGGAAAACTTTGGTTGAGTACAATGACTTTTAAAAGGACTTTGGCTAATCGTAATGCCCATCCTTAACACTCCTAATTCTGAAAGAAAAGACAACTTCCCAGTTCCAATATTTATACTATCACAATTACTTTACAGCAAAAAGGAAGGAAACCTCACTCTACAGTATCCTTTAAATCCCCCATTCCCCTCTTGGCAAGACATACCCGATGAGGAATATATCGTGGTTACTGTGTTCACATCAGCTTCCATTATGGATGCACAGCTGGATTCAGTCAAGGAGCCTGTGACAGTCACGGGAGCAACGCTGGGATGGCGTAAGGCAGCTTTCAGGGGAGCAATGTGGTTGTACTGAACAGAGGACAGGCAGCCAGTGAAACCATAGGCATTTGCCTTTGAGACTTCAGGGTCCAGTGACAAACTATCTGCAGTACAACAGAAAAACACTCTGGGAATCATCTGTTTTAGGAAGGCATTAAAAAAATTAATCCTTTTTTGCCTTACCTACCCCTTTTCCTTCACTTCATCCAATCACAACTCCTTCAGCAGCCTACAAGCTCTCCCTGGCCTGACCCATGAGGTTCCCATCCCCAGACCTTCCTCTACAATGCTACTTACATTTTATGTTGGCTTGGACATAAACGCCTGCCTTGTGCTTCTTTCCTCATCCATTTTCTCTACTCTCTGGACAATATCTAACACATCATAGGTGCTAACCATGGCAATAACAATAATAACAATAAACAGTAAAAATAGCAACACTGAATATCACAGGATCCTAGGGATGATGCTCTTCAACTTTTTTTGCATCTGTTAACATCAGTTTGACAGATATGTACCATATCTTCAAGGTATGCTACCTCCTCCACCCTTTTAGTGAAGGAGCCTGCTCTCTATTTTCCGTTATACAATGCTTCATGTGGCCTAATATTGAATGGCTTGCTAATATAGGCTTCCACTCTTCTTCAAGAATTTATTTTTCAACTTACTTTTCTGATGCACCTAATCATGTTACTACATTTTTATAATCAGAGTTCCTAGGAATTCTCCCAGTTATGAGCCAGGATCTCACTCTGCTAGCCCCATTCCACTAATTAAAAAAAAAAAAAAAAAAAAAAGCAAAACTGTACTTCTTTTTATCTAAATCAAAACCAATACCTCCATGCTCTTTTGCAGCCTAAAGATGACATAGCGTGATTAATTTATCTGTTGGTCTGTGTTCATTTAAATTTCACAAAGAGAAAGCCCATTCAAAGGTGAGTGTTTTTTATTTAGTTCTAAATGTTTTAATATCAAAGATTGTTTGGAAAAGTCAGTGAAGGACAGTGAAGCTATCTTCTCTTTCCTCCAAGCTCTCATTTATTTACTTTCCAGAAATTGAAATTCTTACTGCTCAGAGGTCTGTGACATGATGACCCTTCTATCTAGGTCAACCAAACAAGAAAAAAACAACAAATGCACACATATATAGTATCAAAACTTATTTAAAGTCTTAAAAATTACCTGCTAATTAAAAAAACTTCTAGCATTGAAAGTTTTGGAAATACTTCCAATGACATTGGAAAATAAGGATTCCCAGCTTTTCAAGTTTATTTTCAAAGCTTGAAAGATAAGATGGTAAACTTTAAAATAAGGTCCATTTTTCCCACTATCATTCAAATACAATGATTTTACAAGCTCCCAGCCAAAAAGATTAAGGAAAAAAGTAGACTTTCTCTTATAACTCACATTGCTACCTGAATTACATAAACTTCTTTTACATATATGAAAATACAGCGAAATCTCAAAACTAGCCCAAATCACACATTATTTTGGTCCTCAAGATCTGTGACTGCTATGTCATGCAGTCAGAGGTAATTAGCCGAGAAAGATTTCTAATTATGTTTGAATGTCTTCATAGAAGTATAACGTGGAGAGTTTGGCTGCTTCTCAGCAAAGCAAGGTACAAGGGGTCTTACAGGAGAGTTGCTCAGTCTGCAGAGCTGTCATGTGGACAGCCTCTGGGCTGTGAGTAACTGCAAGGAAGAGAGATGGGAAGAGAAACAGTGAGGCTTTGCCACTGGAAAAACTGCAGCTTTACAGAGGTTCACATTTGCTCTTCTCAAAGTGCCTAGGAATTGGCTGCATTCAGATTTTTAATGAGATTTTGGTAGGGGTGTTATAAAACAGACAAAGAATTGTTTCCAAGTTTCTGCAAGAAGGCTTATATAAAACTAAAAGACTGATTTACAGTATGTGCCACCTTTATTGAATTTATAAAACTCTTCGTAAACATTCCTACTCTCAGCCTTTCCTGTTTTCTTAGCTCTGACACAAAAGGTAGATTTGTTGGTATCTTTTAGACATCAGGCAATCTAAATTGCTCTGTTCTGCCCCAATGTGAAAAAGGTAAAGCCTAAGAAATAATGAATTCCTTTTCCATGGTACAGTAGTTTGAAGTCTAAGATACAGTACTTTTCAAGGCTTTTCTAAAGTCAAATTAAGGGCCAATTCCAGCAATCTTTTGTCAAAGTAAGCTTTGCATGAATGAGAACTAGGAGATTTGTTGTTGAAAGGCTTTGAAATTTGAAAAAAGAAATCAAAGAACAAACCAAAAACAATTCCAGAGTCCTCTGGTAAAAATCTCAAGTGCACAGATAATGCTCACTTTATTATATGGCTTTGAGTGCATGCCTTATGTCTTTCAGAAAGTGGGGCTTTCACTGTTTCTCAATAAGACACCTGCACAACTTGGATGTGAACGAATTGTACTGCCCCCTGAATTCTTGAGTGGATAATGTAAATCTGTGATTATGACATGGTTACCTCTGTGAAAGGCTTACTAAAGGCCACTCTGTCACTTGAAGTCTTTAAATCGTAATAAAATGTTTTTCCAAAAGATATTTTCAGTACATGACATGTTGCTTAGTAAGAGAAGCAACTCAGAGGAGTTCCAAGGTCTGTGTTGAAGCAAGGTCATATGAAACGTCAGTGGCCTTCCTCTGACCTGGTTATGCTGTGAATCTTTCCATGCATTTGACTGGCCTGGAAAATCACACTGAATTGCTGCTGCTGACTTGGTTTGATCTTCTGACATTTTAGCATTGTATTTCTGTTCTCGGTACTGGAGATGGAGTTTGGATGATTTCTACACGGGGGGTGAGAAGGCAATCTTATTCGGCTTTTGAGTAATTTAACTATTCATTCCCCACAACCTAAGTTTACCCATATTTTTAGGAAGTAATTTTTAAGCTTTGTCTGCTGAGTTGTACATAAGTTGGTCTGGCTTCTTGCTGGGTCCTCTAGCTGCTCCTTGGAAGCTGTCTGCAATGTCACAGCTCAGTAAGGTTTGTGTTGGTTTTGCTCTCCTGTTTTCCATATATTTGCAATGGTTTTCTGTGATAATGAGGACTAAGTTTAACATGAAGTTGTATTTTTTAAACTTTATTGATTGTATCAACATAATTTATCTGCTGAATAATTCCTATTCAACAAAACAGACATCCTTTTCCATTTCTGTTTCTTTGTGCACCTTTGCCATATATAACACACTTGTTTTAAGATCTTAAATAAATAAAGCAATTTTAAGTCTTAATATCCCAGTAATGGGGATTTAATTTTCATCATAAATAGAATTCTGCCGGAATTCTCTAGGACCAAGCATTAAGTTGCTCAGCAATGTATCAGCAAATTGACATAGTAAACAATAACTAATATGACGGGTAACTGGAATCAAAGAGAAAACAAGTGTTATTTGCATGCAGGGAGCATGGCTCAAAAGACCTTCTTTCTAAAGATATCACTATGGAAAAGGGACCATAAACATTATCCAATATCTTTTTGTTCTTTCTTTTATAAACATTAATTTCATGTCACTTAGAAATTTAAATCTAAGCCCAAAGTTTACTTGTGTGCTCACTTACATACAGGAAGGCCCATCATGGATTTCCTTACTCGAAATTTATTTTTAACATCAGTGAGAGCAGGCATAGCCTGTTTTAAATGTCTACGCCCTAATTAATTAATTAATCTAATCTAAGTGAATCGCTGGTAGAAATGCAAAGGGTGATTTACTCTGTATGCTGAAGCACTGGTTGTCTGAGAAATAGAAGGATGATTTTTGTGGCAGTTAAAGTGTATCCATCCTCATTTTGCCAAGGTGCTGAACAGCACTGGCAAGATTACTTCTTGGACATTGTCACTAGATTGAGCCCATGACCTTGAAGTAAGAGACTCTTGTAGTCTCCACACTGCCCCTGTCTCAGAAGAGTTGACTAGTAGGTACTGTGTAGTTACCTCAAAAAACATGCTGCTATGTCCTTCAATAACCTCAGCAAACACTGCTGATACTAATCATTAAGTTGGAAAGGGCAGAAAGCATATCTTGGATTAGACTGGAACACACAAAAAGGCATGTGTGGAATTATCTCATTTCCTGGTGCGAGCCTGCCACAAAGGCAGTGGAGTGAACAACACAGAATTTTTTTCTGGTTAGAACCACTGAGCTCAACCAGTTTGGCTCTTGCTTAAGAAAAGGATGAGTTTGAACAGGAGACAGGCTCCAGGCGTTCAATGCACCTACAAGACACTTCTGAAAAAGCAAGGGACAGCAAGAACAAAGTAAATGTACTTTTTCTCACGAGTTTTCACAGGAATGAGCAGAATGTGCCAGGATTTGCTTGCCAGCCATTGAACATTTCGTGCCAAGTGGAACATTTGAGAATTTTTATTTCATTAGGTTTAGCGGAGATAATTTCAGACATGCATCTAGTATGTTTTCTTAGAGACAGTTTGTCATCGAAAATGAAACACTGCTTGGAGTTGCAATGTGAAATTTGTTACATGTCACAGTTTTTGACATTTGAATCCTAATCTGTCACAACACAGCCAGCCCTATGTGATTTTGCATGGGCTCAAAATATAATCTATAAAAAGAAGAAAATATACAAGAAGATGGAGAGACGATGTGCAAATACATGTTTTTCTCAGGAGCAGATGGCTAAAATCAACTCAAGTAGCAAGAATTCAGACTAAAAATAAAATTTCTGGTTAGAAGTAGATGACCTTGCACACTTATTTAGGCAGTATTATCATCAAGAACACAAGGATTTAAGCATGGTGTTATGATCATATGGTAAATGATATTGCTGGGGAAAAAGTCTGAATAGATTTGGTCTCTTTTTCATAGACACATGAGGGCGTTATTGGCTTAGTTGCTTATTTTAACTGCTGCCATCTTGGTCCCAAATGCATCTCCTCTTTTATTCTAAGTAGTCCTTTTGATTTTCCTTAATGTTTTACTAGGCTACTAGGAAGAAAAACATAGACTTTTAAAGGTGCCCTATAATGCACCCAAGAGATCTTTTTCCAAGGTATGGTCCTTCTGAGAAATAGGTATTTAGGGCAAGAAGAGTCTGCAGTAAAGAAAAGAGCTTTGCAGTGTCCAGAAGAGTCTGGCCAATATCTCTTGCAGCCATTGCTATATTGTTTGAAATGCTAAAGCACAATATTCTGAGACTGTGACTTTAAATTTCTCAAGCAAATTGTGATCTCATGAGCTTAAAAAAGGGAATGACTTTCCACCAAAAAATGGACTTAAGTCTTTTCCATAGAAATACTCTAAAAGGAGATCCTTCTTTAGGGAAGCTTTTGTATCTCAGAGTTAATGCCAGCTTACCCCTTCTGATTTAATTATCTTGTTATCATCTCCCCCAATACAATATCACTCTTGGATGAATTACTCTGTGATCTCTTCAGTGTACAGATTCCATTTTCTTCTTGTGAACTTTTAATAAGAAAAGCTATTGTAGAAATCATAAGAATTGTACTGCACCTACATAATTATTTTAATAAAATTACTTTCCAGATGAACTTTCTTCTATGTACACTTTATATCAAAGCTGAATGATTCAGTGGAAAGACTCCTACAACTTGAGTGTGTTTTAGCTCAGGCTTTTAGAGATAAAAGATATCATGGTTATGTGCTAGACTACACAGTTCTTTACATTGCCAGTGTGTGAAGGTCTGCTAATTCATCACTTTGAAGACACAAGTAAATTAGGTCAACATTAATAGGTGCTAAAGAAATTTTTGCAACCTTTCTCTTCAGAATACTCTTGAATCCCTTTCAGTGCTACCCTTTTACTCTGGTATCACTACACAGCTTGTATATTAAATTGCTCAGAAGCAAATATGCAGACAATGAGATTCACTTCTCTGCACCAGTGATTATTTTTTTTCTAGGGACTATAGTGGTGAAAGATTTAGACATGTTGGGGCACAGTAAGAAGTTTTAAAAAATTCATTAAGGTCAACCCCAAAACAAATAAATTATATTTCCCATTGGGATAACAGCTTTTTCTAGACAAGAACTAAATGTATGCAAATGTGGCTCTGAGATCAAAGAATTACAGAATAATTTAAGTTGAAAGACACCTCTGAAGGTCATGAAGTTCAATCCCTTGTTCAAAGCGGCACCAGCTTCACAGTCAGGTCAGATTGCCAATACAGCTCATGTGGGTAAATACAGCAGTATGATCTCTGCAAGGAGTACTTAAAGTAAATGAACTGGGACTCTGGTTAAGATTTCACTGAGGCTTTGCCATAAACGGTATGACCCACTTGGGGCCTGAATCCAGTACTCACTAAAGTCCATGGAAAAACTCACATTGATACTGACGAGCTTTGGATAGGTCCTTTTGTGTCTTGCCTCTATATTTGTGAAGTAAAAGGACGACAAACTACAGGATAATAATATTTTTCTATTGCTGTTGGATACTGTGAGGATGAATTCAACAAACGTCTGTTGGCTACTTGAATGCTACTTCCTTTTACTCCCTTGTCTTCAAACCCACACTTATATTTAGATTGATCATTCTAAGGCAGCTATATGGCCCAATTACTGTGGATCTGAACAGCTCACAGCCTTTAATGCTTTTATTCTCCTAGCACCCCTCTGATGTAGGAATGTTCTATTATCCATGCTTTCCTGATAGAGAACAGAGATAGTAAAGCTCAGACTGGTTCCAGTGGGAATAAAATGCCTGCTTACCTTTATATCTGCACATAAATGGCTTGCCCAAGGTCATTCAAGCAGTCTGTGGCAGAGTGAGTGTTTTGTGTTTTGAATGCCAGGTGAGCCTCCTCCACCTTAAATGGAGGTTTTTTTCCTGGAATTCAAAGCTGGGTGTAGGGCAGCCATTGGAAAATATAGAAGATTTGAAAAGCAGAAAAAAAAATCAAGAGTTTAAGTAGCTTTTGACTAAAGTAAGTGTAATGGGGCTGAGGGGAGGTAGGAGGGGGGAAAGCACTATTATTTAAAAACTGGTCATTGTATAAAAGTGCACTTTTCAAAAGTTCCAGCTGTGCTAAAATGGTTATCATAAGAAAATCTGGTGAGGAAGAGGTTTCAGGCTTTTATGATGTCCTGCTGGAAGCTCTCTTTGAGATTTCTCAGCCAGTGGGAAATGAATGGTGGAGTCAAGAAAGAAGATGGTATAATCATCTGGTCAAGCAGCCAGGATCAGGCTGTTAAGAGCAGGCAAATAAGCAGTGGTGTGAGAAGAAGAGAGACAAATTCTCAGAAGAGTATAGCATGGATACGTAGGACGCATAGAACAGAGTTTTTTAATATGGTTCTATTTCAGTGGACACTTAAATGTTCCTAATGAATGCCTTTAGGTACCTAAATCCCAGTGGAATCCAAACCAAACACTACAGGAAGTCTAGGTCTACTTCAAAGCATCACATGCCTCTGGAAGTTTATGTGTTGCTGAGGGGATGAACAATGACAGGGAAGAACTTGGAGGATATTGGTTTAGGTCACCAGTATTCACCTTCTGGTGAGCCATTATTTAAAGAATCTATAGTTGACGTTTTACCCATATAATAGTACACATGATGAATGGACATACTTATGTAAGTTCTACATTCTTAAAATGACATGGTCCAGCTCTCCTCTTGATATAACAAGGCAATACTCTTGACTTTGTAGCAGTAGGGATTTGTTTTTTGGTGGGGTTTTTTTTGTTTGTTTGTTTGTTTTCCAGCATGGGACAGTGTGCAACCTGGAGATGATACAAAATCGGGAAGAGCAGTTGGTAGACCTGATGGTTTTGCCACCATTCAGAGGGACATTGACAAGCTGGAGAAAAGGTGAAACGGGAACCTCATAAAGTTCAACAAAGGAAATTCAAAGATCTGCACCTGGGTTAGGAATAGCCCCATCCACTGACACTGGTTGGGGCTGGCCAGATGGAAAGCAGCTTTGCAGAGAAAAACATGGGGGTCCTGGTGGACAACAAGCTGACCATGAGCCAGAAATGTGCCCTTGCAGCAAAGGCAGCCAATGACATCCTGGCATCCGGGGTTGCCTTAGGAAGAACATTGCCAGCAGACAGAATGTGATGATCTTTCCCCCATACTCTGCATGAGTGTAATGCTATTGGAGTACTGGGTCCAGTTCTGGACTCCTTAGTGGAAGAAAGACATGGACTTACTGGAGTGAGTCCACTGATGGACTGCAAAGGTGATTAAGGGACTGGAGCATCTTTCATGTGAAGAGAGGCTTGACAGAGCTGGGACTGTTCATCCTGGAGAGAAGAAGACTCAGGGGGATTTGTGATTCTGTGAGGACACAAGGACTCTACTCAGCACAGCTACAGCTGTGGGATAAAACCTGGAAAATGAAATCCTGACATAGAAGAACAGGTTTACAGAAATTCACTTAACATATGAGAAAGAAACCAGAATTAGGATTAGGCTGGAATTAAAGTGACTTGCTGGGATGCATTGTGTGATTCCTGGTACAGCAATAAGATCTTCCACCATCTAGACGGCCAAGTTTATGACTTTAGTGTCATTACAGAATATGAACTATTGCTATTATTATTATTACTAAAACAAGATCCTAATAAACTTTGGGGCAAGAGAGAAATAACAGAATGATATATCCATTAAAAGCTGCCTGGAGACAAGTCTGTGGCATTCAGTGGAACTGAATGCCAGACCTCTGGAGATACATCTGGGCTTTTTGGCTTTGCAACAACCTTGTACTTGTAAAGTTAATCATATTTTTGTGACTAAATCTAGTTTCTCTCCATGATGCTGAGCTGCACCTTGTCAGCTTGCTGGCTAAAAGTTTGAAGGTCTTTGTGCTATGTTCCATCTTGCTGGTTAGAAAAGCCTTGGTTTATTGTTTTGATATCTATAGCTGGAGCTTTAGTTAGAGGTCATGATGAGCAATGTTCTTGCAGATTTTCAGCACTACAGCTGACTGCTGACAAAATGAGATTTTTAGCTTAGCTTGACTTGGGCTAAAAAGTGTCAGGACCCCAAACCTGTCCACAAATGCTTGGAAGATTGCTGCATTCTGAACAAACGTTAAATATAATTAAGGATAAAAACAGTTCCTGCCCTTAATCTACTTAGGAAAACATGATGCAGAATGCACTAATGTCATTATATACACTTATATTGCACAAGTAGACACTAGAGGATGTCTATAGTTTCTGTCTAGCTACCAGTCCCGCAGGCCTTTGGTGCTATTAATAAAACATATACAATTGTAATAGTGAAACAGATGTCAGGCTTGATATGGAGGTCCAATTCTAACAAAGGACTAAAAGGTCTATAACCAAGGAAGCACTTAGAATCTTACTGGGAACAAATAAGACTCTTATATAAAGAAATATAACACACTTGACAACAAAACAGAGGAGTTCTACTTTCCAAATTTCAGGCAGTTTTCCTGGTCTTGTAATGTCTTTGTAGTGTGGAGGGGTAAAGATCAAGGTCCACGCACAGAGCACACAGAATTGTGGCCTCAGTGCTACACATAATATAAATATTCCTTGCAGAATTCAAATGAAAAAGGACTGGGAGTGAAAAAGGGGTAGAGAGTATGAAGGCTCACAGTGCTGTTCTTCTTATAGCTAGGAAACAGAGATGGCTTGAGAGGAGCAAGCTGTAGTTAGCAAAATAGTATCATTAGGCTAAGATGCCACCCTGTGCAGCCACACAGGCAGTATGAATCACTTTACTAGGGGGAACAATGGGAGAAGTTAATATTGTTATCAGTGCAAACAAGTAAAGCTGCCAAATTTTTCCATTGATGAGGTATACAAACAGGAGTACTGGAATGCTCAGGCCAACTCTTACAGCTAAACCAGCCAAACAAAACCTCAATCCTATTAAAAACCCAACACACAGTACAGGTTAACTCCAGCACTATAACAACTGATGAATCAGGAATATTTTTAGTAGAACCTACCTGTGACCTTGCCCAAGGTGAGTGATTTAATGGCCTTAAAATCAATCTCAGAAAAGTTGTGTTTGAGTTTGAGAACTTGATCAACCTGGAAGAGGTCAATAAAATTAGTTCATTACAACAGCATGTAGACACCCCTAGATCTCTCTGTACTGCAAACTTCTGGGAATGCTCTCAGCTGCAAATCAGTTAATTCTGCCCCCAAGCGCAATTCAGTTTCTAAAGATAGCAAAGTGAATATGCTTTGATTTTAGCATGAGAAGCTGAAAGGTATACCAGAATAGTCATATAAAGAGCTTTGAAGAAACTTCCCCTGCAGAAAAGCTTAAAATGTTTGACACTGAAATCCCCCTGCTTCCCCAAATCCATGTCTAGCCACTTCAGAATACACTCAAAGGAGGCCTCTCTAAAAATGTATTGTGAAGAATTAGTTCTGCATAGAAGAAAACCACAGTGCAGCAGACAATAGAAGACTGGTACTTGAAGAAAACCCTGGCTTTTAGCATAAGCCTCCTTCCTAGATAATCAGGCCTACCCACCCTAGTTGCGTGCTGTGTTATCATTTTACCACCCAGACATGGAAACTGTAGAGGAAAGAAAAACTGTGGCGCTCCCTGTGTTTCTATCTCTTTCTCATTCTGTTCCTTAACACACAGCTTCTCTGTAGACTCTGCCACCCTTCCCTGTTAAAAGGCTGCCGCCCAGATCTAGCCGATTTGTTTTGTAATCTGAACTGCTATAATTAGCCTCAGAAGGAGCAGTAAGATAGTCCTCTCCTCCCTGCCTTGGAAAAACAGGCGATGCAGGGAAACAAGGCAGAGGAGGGTTCTCATCTCTCATGAGGTTGTCACATTCAGCATGGCTTGCTTCTAGCAAGGGGACAGGGCATCATCATGCACATGGTGGCTGCACCCTGTGTTCCCCCAGCTCTTCCTTTTCTGTGAGAGGATAAGGCAGCTGGGGTCACATTGTCTCTTGGGGCACATACCCTAAATGAAATTACATTCCCAGGTGCTCGTTCCTCAGCTGGTTTTCTCCCTTTGTCAGCTTTTTAAAGATCCATACCATGTGTTTCCTCTGGGACTACAGGTCACACAGACATCCCCAAGCCCCAGAACCACTCCAATGGTCCAGATGAACTTCTGGCCAAAGGTATTTCCTAACTCACAGATTGTCAGAGACAAGGGAAGGATCACTCAAAGGACACCACCACAGTTGGGCACTCTTTGAAGCAGGGTTGGATGGAGCTTTGGTCTAACCTACAGCTGCTGCTGGACCAGCTTTGGTTGCACCAGATCAATGTGAAACTTTTGCCTCCTGCTGACGATGAGACTTTGAAATCAGTGGGTCTGTTTGTGGCACGAAGTTTTATTTAACTCTCAACATAAACCATGGCATACCTGAATTATGAGCTCTCTGCCTTCTCTGTTAATCTTCACATGGTGCAGCTCTCGGTTGGCAAAATTTCCAGAGTCAATGGTGAAAATGAGGAGGCCATCCTTACTGAGCTTGTATCGGACCTGTAAACTTCCTTAAAAGCAGAGCAAAATTCTATTTATAAAACCTGTGTCAATAATGAGATACTGTTCAATATCTTTACACAACATATAACTCATTTTATTTTTATTACAGTGGAGTAACAAGGTTAAAAAGTCAAGAAAGAGGTTGAAGAGAAATGAAAGAGTTCAAACTGTAATGAAAAGTGTAAAAAAATAATGCACTGGAAGAGTTTGCCTTCCTAGTAGCTAACAAACTCTGCTATGAAATAACATATCTTAATTGAGTAACTAAGTATATCAAAGGAGTGCATGTCTGCAGGTCAGACGTTGAGCGCTGCCACAAAAGCTGATCTACATTCGTATGTTAAGGATCGCTTCCACCAGAGGGCATGCAGGTCTTGCACTGTTCTATTAAACTAATATTGGTGGATTTTACTATTCCTTTTCATCAAGATGTAACAGACAATGCAGAGTACAGTGACAACTGTGAGAATTATAACTCAATTTCAAACATTTAAAGGCCCAGACTCATTATAATTTATATGCAATACAAGAAAAGATATATTGTACATGATTATACAGAAAAAATGTTTTTACTTTGGTTCTAATGTATTTGAAAAAATAAATATAATTCATATAAAAATGAATGCCAAACATCTCTTTCAGTCTTTGTATCAAAAAAAGCATTGTGACTTCTCATAAATAACAGTACCACAACAAATCAAAATGTACAAGAAAATAAGGAATCCAATATGAAATTTTATCCTTCCACAAATGACTACAGGAAAAAAAAAAAGTATTTTATTTATATATATATATACACACACACACACATATATAATTGTCGTGGTTTAAGCCCAGGACAATAATTTAAAAGGAAAAGAACCTATTCTGATAAAATCCTTTCAAGCTTACTTTTCTGGGAATTAAGTAGCAGGGAGAAAAAAATTCTCTGAACTTTTGGAGCTCTTTTTATGCATCAGCAACCAAAATATATGGAACAATAGTCATACTGTAGAGTTAAAAAGCTTTTCTGGGGCTACTTTGTTACTGTCTCCAAGGAGAAAATGAATGCTGACAGCACCACAACCCTGAGCAAAGGGTCCTTCATTTATTCCCTGTTCTAAAAATCATCATAAAACCCCCTCCTATCTCCTTTCATTTCAGAGCTTCTGTTAGCACAAGTTCAAACTATTCCAAGTATCACTAGGTTTTGCAGAAGGCTAGAGGCAAACATTACCTATGCTGAATGACAGGGACCCACTGACTGTCACCGAAGGATGTGTTCACACTGTTTTCGCTCTAGGACCGGTTTCAGCATTTGCCGAGGCAACGCTTGCGCGCACACCACGATGCAGTGCCGTGCCAGAGAAGCCCACAGCACAGCTGCACAAGCTGCTGCATATGTGTGGGCACTGCAACGTTATTCAGAGGCACCTCTGCCCCCAGAAGCAGTCTGGCTGTTTAAAGAGGCGAATGAGCAGCCCTGCTTGGCTCCTATAGTCAGGTACATTAATGCTGCAAGACTGCTTGCAGGTTTAGAGTTGGTGAGAGAGGACACAGGCCAGTTGTCCTTCACTACATAGTGTGGACATACCTGCTCCCTTCAGCCTTCCACATCCTCCCTCAATAAGGTCAGCTCTGTTGGCTTACAAGCTACTGTAAAACCGCTTTATAAAGAGCTTAAAACAACGTATATATTTCCTGTAGAGGAGGAATTTTGCTACCTCTACACAACTCACAATGAAGTTGGTAGTCTTTCCAGATTGGACCTAGAGTCCAGTTAAGATCATCCCTCCTTTTCCCTCTCCAGGATGTTCGGCTGCTCAGGTTCCTAAGAGCTGTACTTTTTGTAACATTTGGTATACCCCAGATGAGCACTGCCGCTCTCTGAACTTTGGAGGATAGAAACAAAGCTTCCAAAAATGAGAGGGAAAATGAGAATGAACTACTAGGATTAAGGCTTTTTAACTGATTGAGAGGGCTGCTGGATAAGGTGAGCTTTTAAAGTGAAATTTAAAAAAAAAAAGGAGATAAAAGGCATTTACTTTCTCATGCATAGTCATGGATGTTAGAGGGGAATTTGTGAAGAGATCAAGGTCAGTAACACCTGCTAAATTATTCAGTGTGATATCAGAGGTCCTGATTCAGCTGCCCCAAACCATACTGCAAAGCTCCCATCCCCTCATTGCATAGGCAGGACAAGGAACTACTGTCTATCACCATTAACGTTACACTTAAAGGTCCAAACTTAAATCACAATCCTATTTTCTGATACCAAATGAAAGATGCATCAACAGGGAATAACGGTGTAAACATCTTACAATCACTTTACTCTAGAATGACATAAGAAGCCCAAGCGCAAGGAAGTTAAGGGACCTTCTTCAGACTTGCTTGTTAGGGCAGTGGGAGAGTCAATAAAAAACGGAAAGGTTGCCTGACCCTGCATGCCACAGCTGAGATGACCACACAGAATAAGCTGAAACTAAGAAGTGATAGAGTAACAGATTGGTCCAAACTAAAAATCATGTCCCTGCAGAAGTACTTTATAGGCTGTCTCTTACCTGGACCCTTTGAAAGGGGCGTAATGCGGAAAATGGAACAGGGCTTAGGTTTGGTCTGTGACCTTGTACTAGTTGCTTAGTTTGTAAATCTGAAAAAAAATTCTTTGCTCTTTTTGAATGCTATGAACACACCAGTATATAAAATATAAATGGTACTACTATATCCAGGTGATCAATATAGCAACCAGCACATTTGTGTTCAAAGAGAGCCAGCAAGATATGCAATTTATCTAGGCTCTCAGCTGCTGCTAACGGGGATTTACCCATTGACTTCATCAGAGAAGCATTGACTTTAAACCAGAAACCATCTATTCTATTTGTTGGGAGACAATGGGGGAGGTTCTTGACATCCATTAAGAACAGATCTTACCTTCTATAGTGGTACAATTTTACCTTAAATCATTTAAAGAGATCAGTGAATAGCATCTTATTTTATCAAATTACTTTGAATTCCAGTGGCAACTTTTCTTGGATGGCTGCTCTTCAAAACCATTGAATTCAAGTTGGCATTTTGCCTGGGGTCAAATCTACATTAACATAAACCAGAAGTACATGGGCTCATCTCTCCAGAGGTGTTTTGGAATTTACACCAGTTTAGCTGAGAGCTGATTTTGGCTCACATTCAGTACCAAAACTTCTCCCGTTTCCACAGTACAGAATAATTTGTCTGGCAGATTACATTACCATTTTACTACTTGACAGGCAAAATAAATGGATTATTAATTAGGATTATTATTAAGAATTTTTTTTTGTCCTCTGAATTTTGATTATCTGGTCCACTGACCTTCTCCATCACATCAGCCCAGTCTCACTAACTGCAAATAAAAATCTGTGCATAAACCAGTTCTATTCTCCCTATTCTCTATTCTCTCTCTATTTTGCATCATTTTTGCCTCACAATAGGGATTCATACTAATCATGAGCAGTGTAATTTCTGGCAGTCTTATTGCAGTCATGCCTGTCATCCTCTTTTCAGCTCCCTGTGTCTGAGCATGCACACCTGGAGTGCCATAATGTTCAAGCAATGCACTGCCTGTTGTGTTTTCTTCCTTCTCTAATGTATGTGGAATTGCTGGAGGCAATTTCTATTAAGCCCATAAAAGAGGGAGGGAAGGAAAAAGAGAGGTATCTTGTTTTTGGCCTTGGGCTGGAAAATTTTACTGGGCATATTACTCCAGCAGTGTTAGGTAAGAGTGGATTCACACTTGATTATTATAGTCATCCCTTTCAGCTTCAAATTCTGCAGACTGCAGATCAGCATGGAGATATGCTGTGCTAGCTCCAGAACGACCCAACAGGAGACCAGGCATAGTTTAGCCATAGTGTTACAGAGTGCAGCGTGGCCTCTTTTTGCCGCTTCTGGAGGAAAGGAGTCCACATGGGCTGCCATGCTACTGTGATGGGACCACTACCAGTATCAAAGCTGGCTTGCTACACATCATTGTGGTCTTCAATCTGTTATCTGCCGTAGTATAATCTGTGACTGTAGGGCTGAATGACATCTCTCTGCAGATATCAAATAGCTACAGAGCCATTTTAACAGGATTCCTGGGGGTCCCCTTGTGCAGAGGGAAGTTCTGGGAAATAGAGACCAAAGGGCAGTATTTATGCCATCCCATGCTGATGACTACATTGGGGATGACTTTTCTGAAACAAAACACTCCCAGGACACTCTTTCAGTGGTGATGGAGGCTGGGGTTGATACTTGCTAGCAATACGCTAATGATCAGTGTCAGCATAACCAACCTCCAGGTGGCCACAAGAATAGCATGGTGCCTTCAAACTGCTTCTCTTTTTGCTGAGGACAAGAAAGATGTAGTAGCAGCTCTTAAGTCTAGTGGTAATAAGGACATTAAACTGGTTAGACATTTAAAAGTGTTCAGGCTGAAGAAGAAAAAGTATTCCCAGACTGCACAGTGTGAAGAAATACCTTGGCCATGACGTTACATGTTGTATGTCCAAAACCTTTTCTGATTGAACATGTCAACAGGAGAGTTGTCTGTCTTTTGCCTGCGTCTACAGCAGTGCTTGAGTGGAATGTCAGAAATATTTGGTGGCTTTGTGGCCTATGCCCACTAACTTTACATTCGTTCTGGACTGCCAAAGCTTGTGTTGAAAATCAAATAGTAATTTTTAAATCATCAGCTGGAAAAGAGAGCATGGCAAAACATTACAGAGAGTGTTCTAGCTCAGGAAAAGACTTCCTGGCTTGAAAGATCTCACCCAGTGCCAGATATTTGACAAAAAAGTCTGCAGAAAACAAACAAAAAAAAGGATACCAGGAATTTGGTCTATAAATCCATCATTCATAAGCAATGTCCTTGTCACATTTCACCAGGACCACAGGTCTTGTGTCATTTAGCCTTGAAGAACCAAACAGCAAGGAAGGTAATGACATGCCTTTGGAGTCTGAGACTTCTCTGCAGGACCTTCATTTACAGAAACTGGTTTTAAATGTGCCCAGATTG